TCTCTCTCTCAAATAAATGAATAAAATCTTTAAAAAAATCTTTAATAAAAAAATTAAAAAATAAAACATGAAGGGAAGATCCAAATGTTACTAACCACCTAAGTTATATAAATGTCAGCTGATAATGACAATCAGTTTTTCAAAGGAAACAAAACCTCAAGTTCACATCTTAATAATAGCAGCTAATAATTATTGAGCCCTCACTATGTATGTGCCTGGTATTCCTCATAACCATCACTTCCCTAAGACCCACAGCTAGTATGAATCCAGGCAATGTGTTCCCTAAAATTTGCAGACTATTCCACACTCTACTAACTCAAATATGGGAAGTATCTGGAACCCCCAAACCTAGTCAACCGTGATGGTCTCTACTGAGTTCTTCCTCCTCCGTAACTCTCAAGGATATCCTATCCCCCTTTAACCATTCCCATAGCAGCATCTGTCATCTGGGTTACAACTGTCTCCTTTTTAAAAATGAAAGTCTAATTTTATTAAAGGCCTCCCCTAAGCATTTATTCTCCCTCCCTCCCTAGCACAGAATTGTCACTGGGAAGTGACACATTTTCCTATCGAATGACTTCAGGTTATGTTAGATTTTGCTGTTAAATGAGTTGTGAAAATTTGTTGGTTTTCAGGGCTGTTAGAATTTTGGAGTTGAGGACGTGGGAGCTGAGGGACTATTCCCTCAAAAGCAGTAACGCAATCCAACTATCTAGTCTTATTTTCCATAAATCCCTCACAATCCAAGCTTTTCAAACTGGGATACATGTCATAACGCCAGAGGCTTCATAAAGACCCGAGGTGAAGACAGTGCTTCTTCTTGAGAGTCAGTCATACTCTGGTGAGTAATATGAAACATTTATAGTAAGAAATGGATATATCTGTAGAAGAACAAAACTCGTAAATTTTTATGGTAAAACAGGTGACTCCAGAGAAACTTGTCAGGCAGCATCAGGCTAAGGTCTCAGACACCAAAGGTACAAGTCCCCTCTTCTTTGCCATTAAGAGGATCTGGGCAGGGAACTTGGAGAGGCATTGCCCTGTACCCTGGACACCAGCCAAACCCTTCCTTAGCTTCTCCTCTGTATTTCTTCACCTTTTCCCTGCCCCTCCCCACCCCCTTTGTAGTTTCTAGAGATGTTTCAAGAAGTTCACGTTGTAGGGCGCCTGGGTGGCTCAGTCAGTTAAGCGTCTGCCTTCAGCTTGGGTCATGATCTCGGGTTCTGGGATGGAGTCCCCGCATCAGGACTGCTCAGCGGGGAGTCTGCTTCTCCCTCTGCCCCCCACCCCCGGCCCAGGTTGTGCGCGCATACACACTCTCTCCCTCTCTCTCTCAAATAAATAAATAAGATCTTTTTATAAAAAAAAGTTCACATTGTTACAAGGGGTAACAGCATCCCATTGATAATTAGAAGACAAAGGGGCAACGCCCTCCAAACTCGGAGAGCAATATTTTCTAACCGGGAATTGTATCTACCCTAGTTATCATCATGTTTGAGGGGAGGATGAGACACTTTCATATACGTGAGTTCTCAAAATATTTACTGCTCGAACAAAGCACACTCTCTCAGGGAACCACTAGAAGTTGTGTTCCTCTAGAAGAAGTGGGGAAAGCAAAAAAGAGGGAGACCCAGCACCATAAAACAAACAGGCTGTAAGCGCAGGAGAGAGGTGAAGAGGATTAGGGTTAGATAGAGGGAAACCTCTGAATGATTGCCACACAGCACAGCAGGGCAGCTGGGCCATCAGTCCAGCCTGGAGCAGTAAGACAGAAAGAGCCGGGGGGTGTGCTGGGGGTGGTGATTACAGGATGAATCTCCTTTCCTACTGAGAGGAGATCTCTGCTTGCGACAAAAAGAGGATATCGATAAATCAGTAGTAAGGACACAGAAAATTTAAGTACACATTTAAAATGTAGTATTATTAATTCCAGGGAAATCAGCAAAGGAAATATAATCATAGCATGCTATATGGATTAGCTGGGAATATTTGCCTAATAGTAATGTAAATTCTGACTACTGGTCACACCAAAATTGAATTCTAACTTTATTGGGAAGGTGGGGATGAGTGGGAACAGGTGTGAGTGTGTGTGCGCGCTCGAAGTTTCCTCTTACGTGGTATGAAGCTAAATCTAAGCCTGGGGGGTTGGGGGAACATTAAGTAAGTAGCAGTGCAAGTCTGTGATTTAGAAATATCAAGGTAAATAGCTAAAGGAGTTGGGAATCATTCTGTAGAGTAGGAATCTGGGACAGGGAGGGACATGCTGTTTTTCACTATAAGCCTTGGAGTGCTTTTTGATTTTTAAACCCCATACGTATCCTTTTATAAAAAATCAAAAGGAATGGTGGTTGCCCCGCATAGGGTTAATTTCCGTATTATTCATTTAATCTTCCCGACGTGTCCATAAGCTCGGTACTGTTATCCCCATTTTCCAGAAGAGGACACTGAAGTGCAGGCCCTCGCCCACGCTCCCCTAGTCCTAAGGACGACCCTCCCCCGAGCCTCTCTCCCACCCGCCACGAGCCTCCCCCTGCGTGAGTCCCGCGCACCTGGCCAGTGGTAGACACAAAGAGGCCGTTCAAGAAGTACTCGTTTGAGGGCCACGGCGCGGGTTGGCAGAAGGGCTCGGGCAGCGGAGAGGCGGGGGCGAGGGTGCTGTGGAGGGGGGTACCGGGGAGCAGAGCGGGCCGGCGGCGCGGGCGTGCAGGGACGGCTGCCCGGGCGGGGAGGCGGGTGGGACCGAAAGCCGAGTTCTAGGCCAGACCCTTACCTGGCCGGGAAAAGAGCAGGGCGCTGGTGAGATAGTTCAGCAACTCCATAATCTGATGTTTTTCCAGATAATTCTTGGCCTCCAGCTCCCTGTTGCCGCCCGCCTGCATTGTTCCGCGTGGGGGCGTTGCTGAGCGACCGGGCGGCGGCGCGGCCGTTGGGCTCCACCCCCTCCGCTCGGCGCGGTCACGTGACGCGCCCCCCTAGGGGGCGACCCGGGCCTGGAGTTCAAGACTTCATCACCGAGAGGAAGCCTGGGGCGGCGTGGAGTGGGGCCCGCGCCGAGGCCGACGGTGCGCGGTGCAGAGGCCCTGCCGGGCGGATGGTCGGGTTCCCCAGCCGGGCTGAGGGCTGGGCCTGATGGTCTTTTCCTGTTTTCGTCTCTAGCACCTAGCGCAGGACTTGTTGACCCAATGAATGAGACCTCAGGTTCTAATAACACAGGATGAACCAACCACAGAAGGAACTTGTGGAATTTTAGAGTATACCGTGGAGAGTCCTAAGTCCCATCTTTAGTGGGAGCGGCCTGCAGCTCAGCGCGGGCAACCGGGCAGGAAGACAGCCGGTTTTCTCCCCTGGATCGTGGGTCAGGGAAGCATGCTGGGATCCTGAGCTCCAACCTCGGCTGCTTAACTAGGCTGCGTGGAGCTGGTCGTATCAGCCAGAGACCCTCTGACAGTAGTTTTGAGGGTATGTCACTGAGCAAGATGGGATTGCAGGTGCCTAGGAGGGCCGCTCCTCAATCGTCGTTGTACCTTCGAAACTACACTCTAGGCTGGGACATCTGTCCTTGAGTGCCAGGCTGTGAAGCCCGTGGCCTTACCGCTCACCAGAGAGTTATCCCAGAACAGGCACTTACTTAAAGGAGAGAAAAGACAAATGGGCCAATATACGTGAAAATATTCTCAGCCTCTTCCGCAGTCCTGTAAACATATTAAAACTACAAGACAAGCCAGTTTAGGGGCGCCTGGGTCGCTCAGATGGTTGGGCGTCTGCCTTCGTTCGGCTCAGGTCATGATCTCCGGGTCCTGGGATCCAGCCGCATGTCCTGCTTCTCCCTCGCTCTCTGCCTCTCCCCCTGCTCATGCTCTCACTCTATGTATCTCTCTGTCTCAACTGAATAAATAAAATCTTTAAAAAAAAAAAAAAAAAGAAAAGAAAATGCCAAGTTTACATGTACCGGACTGGTAAAAGTTAGGAAGTTGGACAATATCGAGGGCAGGGCAACAAAACAGCCAATGATGATGGAAGCATAAATTGCAACATCCACTTTGGAAAAACGATTTTGAATTGTCTTGATAATATAAACATGTCTCTGCGCTATGACCCAGAAATTCCACTCGGAGAGAAACTCTTGGACAGGTATACCAGGATATATGTACAAGAATGTTCACAGCAGCACCGTTCATAATAGCAAACACTGAGAGCAACCCCAAAGTTCATCAAGAACACAATGGATTGGGCTGCCTGGGTGGCTCAGTTGGTTGGGTGCCCGCCTTCGGCTCGGGTCATGATCCCGGGGTCCTGGGATTGAGAAAAAAACTGGGCTCCCTGCTCAGCGGGGAGTCTGCTTCTCTCTCTCTCTGACAAATAAAAAAATCTTTGCTCATGTATTTTACAATTTTTAAAATCTCAGCATTTAATACCAATCATTTTTAAGCAATTGAAAAATTGGAAAAAAAAAACAAGGAACCAGAAAGCCAATGCCAGGGGACTGAACCAAGTCTGAAACAGAAGGTAGCCTTGGGCATTTGGGGACATGGACTGAATCTTCAGAGGTCAGGGCCCCCCTTAAGAATTCTGTGCCCTGAGCATCTGAGAGACCTCGAGAAGGAGATTGGTTGGGAGATTGGCACAACCTTGAGCAAAGAGGAGGGACAAGCCTCTTTGTCTTCAAAGTCTGGAGGAAGCCCTCCAAGAAGGAGGAGGAATCATTTCTCTGAAATGATCTGAACATCATGTACCCAAATTTGCAACAGACCTTAGGTTTCTAGGAAGGAGAATATTTCAGGATGACGTAGGAGAGTGCTTGGCTAACGTTTTAGCAGCAGAATCCTTTGAAGAAATCATACGTGGAATCCCCACATGCAGAACAGATAAAAGAGAGCCCTGCATTGGGATTCCTATGTAATGACAGGGGCCCGTGATCGAAGCTACTTTTGTGGTACTTTTCTCACAGAGGCCGGCTGCAGCCTGCGGGATCCTGGTGACAGAATTACCTGGAGCCTGGTGAGCCCTGACAGAAGGAAGCTGACAAAGTAGATGCGTTACTCTGGGGCCTGTGGACCTGAGGGCCAGCTCGGACCCCTGGTTCTTGTTGGATTCTGGGGAGAATTTGTAACTCTTGATGTGGGCTGTTATTCTTCAGTGTGTTTTGATCCTTCCTTTGGGGACTTGCTTCATGTTCCCTGGTGGAGGACAGTGAAGCACAAACAGCAAAGCCTAACGTGTGCACCCCCCTCCAAATCATTGCCACTCAAATGCTTGACCCTTCAGGGCTGCCTGAAGATGTGTGATCACTTAGGAAAGTGACTCTGGCTCAGCACAGCAGAGGCCAGACAATGGCAGGAGGACTCAAATGGTGAGCTCAGGGGCGCCTGAGTGGCTCAGTCGTTAAGAGTCTGCCTTTGGCTCAGGTCATGTTCCCAGGGTCCTGGGATCGAGCCCCACGTCGGGCTCCCAGCTCGGCGGGAAGCCTGCCTCTCCCTCTCCCACTCCCCCTGCTTGTGTTCCCTCTCTCGCTGTGTCTCTCTCTGTCAAATAAATAAAATCTTTAAAATAAAATAAAATAAAATGGTGAGGGACCCCTTCAGGGATAGAGGTTATGAGAAGCAGAAGACAGAGGGGGCTGGTCACGGTGTCTTTTGACTGGCCTAAGGTCCAGGGGAAGCAATGTAAAAATGTCAAAGGGGGGTTAAATATCTGGCTTTTAGTTTTCGCTCAGGTTGATCTCGTGGGTCATGGGATCGAGCCCTGCGTGGAGCCTCTCTCTCTCTCTCGAGTTTGCTTGTCCTTCTCCCTCTGCTCCTCCCTGGCTTGTGCTCTCTCTCTCTCTCTCTCTCAAATAAATGAATAAAATCTTTAAAAAAAAAAAGTCAGGACTGTTCCTTAATGGAGGGAGAGAAGGAAGACTGTGGGGTGGTCCATTGGAGACAGTGATTTCTGCCTGGTGCTCTAAGCTCAAGACATTTGGTCTTCTCTGTAGGAACTTCATTTACTTCCCATGGGTTACTCAGTGCCTGAATAAATAACTCTGCTCTTTGAACCTCAGATGACACGAGAACGTTGACTTGGAAATGGAGGAATCTGATCCCTGTGACTACGGAGTCAGGCTGATAGGCTGAGGAGAGCACATTGGACTCTGCTGACGTCTTCCCGACTCGCTGTTTGCTCTTCCAGCAAGCCTGGCTAGGTTTGTGTGCACGGTGCTCCCTCTCACAACACACCTCAGGCAGCTAAGGCCCCAAATCTGCGATTCCCGAGGAAGTCATGCTAAAGAGAAGCATCCAGATGCCACCTAGTGGAGTCAGCTATTCGTTGTTGATGCCATCTCTCTCCTTTAAGATTTTATTTATTTAGGAGAGAGAGAGTGTGCGCGAGCTCGAGCTGGGGTAGGGGCAGAGGGAGAAGCAGACTCCCCCCGCTGAGCAGGGAGCCAGATGCGGGGCTCGATCCCAGGACCCTGGGATCATGACATGAGCTGAAAGCAGACGCCCAACAACTGAGCCACCCAGGCGCCCCATGTTGGTGCCATCTCTTAAGGCAATTTGGGCTTAATAACCATCATCAACATCGTCATCCTAATGCGTCACCATCTCTTAGGCTTCCCCAATGCCCTCTCCTTGTTATTGCTAATCCTTTCAGTGGTTTGGGAGAGTAACTCCAGATGGTTCCCAATCACCACTGCACATTAGAACCAACTGGGTCCTTTAGAAAGTACTGGAGGCGCGGCCCCCTTCCAGGCACATGAAATGGAATCTCTTGAATTGGGGCCCGAATATTGGTAGTTCTGTTGTTGTTTTTAAACAGCATGATTGAGGTATAATTAACATTTAATAAACTGCACATTTTTAAGGTGTACTCATTGAGAAGTTTTTTTTTTTTTTTTAAGATTTTATTTATTTATCAGAGAGAGAGAGAGAGACACAGGCAGGCAGAGGGAGAAGCAGGCTCCTTGCTCAGCAAGGAGCCCGATGCGGGACTCGATCCCAGGACCCTGGGATCATGACCTGAACCGAAGGCAGACGCTTAACCGACTGAGCCACCCAGGCGTCCCTCATTGAGAAGTTTTGATGTATGTATACATCCATGAAACTCTCACTGCAATCAAGACGATCATCCCCAAAAGTTTCCCTGTGTCCCTTTCTAGTTCCTCCCTCTACCCCTCCTTAACCCTGCTCCCCCCATCACCAGGTAACTCTGACAAGCTAGCTATTACTCTAGTTTACATTTTTTGAATTTTACATAAATGGAAGCATACAGTATGGGTTTGTTGTTGTTGTTTTGGTTCAGTGAGTGTCTTTCACTCAATATAATTATTTTTTGAGATTCACCCATGTTGTTCCATGGTGCAGTATTTCATTCCTTGCTAGTGCTGAGATTTCAGGGATGGAGGTACCACAATCTGTTTATCCATTCAGCCATTGATAGACATTAGGATGGTTTTCAGTGTGGAGCTATTAGAATGGTATATGGATCTTTGGGTGGACATGTGAATTCATTCCCGTTAGGTAAATAGCTAGGAGTGGACTGCTGGATCATGTGAGAAGTGCAATTTTTTGAGAAACTGCCACACTGTTTTCCAAAGAAGCTGTTCCATTTTACATTCCCAAATTGGTGGTTATTAAGGGCCTCCCAGGCGAGCCTGGTAGACGGCCAGGACTGAGACCCTGCCTTATGGCTGCCCGGGAGGCCCGAGCTGAAGGTCTGAGAAATGTTGCTCAGGAGACCCGAGAGTAGAGGCCCACAGCCCGTCTCCACTCAGGACACACACTGGAACCTCCTGGGGAGCCTTTTACAAACACAGCATCTGCCCCCTCACCCACAGGGACTCTGATGTAATTGCTCTGGGGACAGGGCAGGTGTGGAGGGCTGTCTCAGGCATCGTGGC